GGTTGCGATCCCGTTGCCGGTCCCGGTCCGGTACGGGCGCGACACTGAGGGTTGCAATCCGTTGCCGGACACGAAAAAAGACAAAAAGGGAAAAAAAAAAAAAAAAGAAATATGGATGGTAAAGGATGTTCTGAGGAGATCTCAGACAAAAATGAGGAACATGCTGTTGGACACCGGAGGGAAGGTGATCCTTATAAAGTGACAAAGATCTTGGTTGAATTCTGCTTGTGTTCTAGCGTTTTGTGGCAGGTAGAAATTGGATATTCAGCTGAGTAGATTTCTAGGCAAAGTGTTGAAGGAGTGGCTCGGTTCTAGACCTCTTATGGTAAAATTTGAGGAGAGAGACATGATTTGAAGATGGAATTGTTAAGTAAAAAGGAAGCAAAACTTTAACATTTGGAAAAATTTCGACCTATCCATATTATAAAAAATGAGAAAGTGTGTTCAAAAGACAACACTAAGGATGTGGTGGGTTGACCATTTGATAAGGCGATTAGTGTGTGTGAACCGCAGACTTAATCAACCATCTCAGCAAAAGCCAAGGATGGAGATGCATTATTCCAATAGCAACACTGTCAGTTGGGACCGAGGAAACAGAAAACGGGACAACAGGAAGGAAAGAAGACTGTCGGACTTCTTAGACCCTACAAGACTGGATCATAGAACTATTTGGCTGTGGATAGGTGCTTTTCTTCAAGATAAGGGAAGAATGACCCCAAAGGCACTTCGGAGATCATCAGGGCTGGGGGGGCAGGGCTGCACCCACCTCAATTTCAAAGGCTTGACCCCCATCCTGACAGGAAATTATGGTATGGGTGACCACAGAGAACCATGGCATGGCTGGGGCCACCACGGAAAACCACAGTGTGGAGAGCACACTGCCAAGCTGTGGCGGGGGTGATGTGGCCTCCCTAGTGAACCCGGAAGGTGAGACCACTTCTCCAGTGAGTCCAGAAAGAGAGGCTTATTCTCACACCTGAAGATCTCATGGAATTTGCCTTGCTAGGGTTTGGACTTTACTTGGGAACTGTCACCTCTTTCTTCTTTCCTATCTCCCCCTTTTGGAATGAGACTGTTTATCCTCTGTCTGTCCCACCATTGTATTTTGGAAGCACATAAATTGTTTGGTTTCCTGGGTTTCCAGCTGGAGAGGATTTTGCCTGAGGATAAAGCATACCTCGAGTCTCACCCATATCTGATTTAGATAATATTTAGATGCAACTTTGGATTTTAGACTTTAGAGATGCTGGAACAAGTTAAGACATTTGGGTTGTTGGGTGGAATAAATGTATTTTGCATGTGAGAAGAATTTTGGGGGGGGGGCAGGGGCAGAATGCTATGCACTGAATGTTTGTCTTCCCCAAAAACTCATATGTTAAAATTTTAACCTCCAATGTGATGGTGTCAGGAGGAGGGGCCTTCGAGAGGTGATTGGATCATAAGGGTGGAGTCCTCATAAATGGCATCAGTGCCTCATAAAAAAGACCCCAGAGAGCTCTCTCCCTCTCTCTCTGCCATGTGAGGATACAAGAAGTGAGCAGTCTGCGTCCCAAAGAGGCTGCTCACCAGAACCAGACCGTGCGGGCACCCTGATCTCAGACCTCCAGCCTCCAGAACTGGGAGAAATACATTTCTGTTGTCCATAAGCCACCCAGAGTACGGTGCTTTGTTATAGCACCTAAGCAGACTAACGGGGGACTCCAGGTGGAGATGGCCGGTGAGCTCCGGAGGGGGAAGACTGGACACACACGGATCCATATGAACGGGTCAAGGAAGGGACGTGCTGGCTTGGAGAAAGAGACCCCTATGGTCATCTCTCAAATATTCTGAGGCCTTGCGGGCAATAGGAAATCAGCTCTGCCCCTTCTGGCCCTCAGAGGGGACTAGGGCTAAGTGAACTGGATTTCAGTCAACCTGAGGACTCTTTCCTACACACGGGGCTTGGAGATGAAAACAGCAGGGACCACGGGGTGGTCCTGCCGATAACTGGGCAGGGGAGTTTCCTTCCAGGCAAAAAGCCTCCTCGGCCTCCCGAACCCTCTCTTGATGACAACTGCCTTACTGAGGACTGGCTAAGGACTGATCAAAGCGAGGACTGAACCCCTCCCACCAGGAGTATTTGCATCCAAAGAACGAGGGATTTGTTCATTTAAACCAATGCCCCGTGGGTGGAATGTGCTGGGGAAGGAGCAGAGGAAGATTCCCCACCCCAGGTATCCTCGGGACCATAAACGGAGGAACTGGCCCCGGCTGGCTGCAGACAGGCCGCTGTCACCGAGCGCCGCCGGCGGTGTGCAGGGTGGGATCCCTCCAGGCCCACGTCACACCTGGGCAGGCGGCGTTATCCATGAGCGGAGGGGCGGCTCGCCCGGGCCGTGGGCACCCCCGGGACCGCGCTGCCTCCTCTCTCCGCTGCAGCCAGCATTTGGCTCGCGTCTGTGTCCGCGAGCGGACTGAGCGAGCCACACGAAGGCACGGGCTCCAGGAATCAGTGTGGCCGGCCAGGGGCACCCGGCGGAGGTTTCGGGGTCCTTGGCGTCTCCTCCTCGAGACCCCAAACCCACTCTCGGCCCGGGACGGTCGGGAGCGCTCGCGCAGGGGCCCCCTGACACCCCAGTGTGCCCAGAACAGGGATCGGACGAAGGCACCCCCGGCGGGGACACAGTCCCGAGGCCGGGCTCGGGGCGGCAGAGGCGGGGTCGACGCGCCGCATCGTTGCGGGAGACTGCGGAGGGTGCCCGGCGTGGGCGAGGCGGCGCTGCGAGGGTGCACCGGCACAGACAGGGTCGCGTCGCCGGCACCGTCCCCGTGCGCCCCGCGGAGCTGGGCGCGCAGGCGAAGGT